CAATTACCTCCAATAGACCGATTAGATCCCACAGATTAGGCCTCCTCCGAATTCCGTCCACTGGCCAATGCCGACTGGCGACCTTCTCTGTGGCTGCTCCGGCCCTTTGGAACGAGCTCCCCTCACCACCCTCCAGGCCTTCCGCAAAGCCCTTAAAACCTGGCTGTTCCGACAGGCCTGGGGCTAATGAGCTTTTGTCCCCCCTCGAATGGTATGGTTGTTGTTTTTTTTAAATTGTGGTATTGTTTTGTTCGTCTTTTTTATTCCTTATTTGTCCCCCCCCCCCCCTTGACTTGGGTTGTGAGCCGCCCTGAGTCCCCTTTGGGGAAAATGGCGGCATAGAAATATAATAAATTCAATTCAATTCAATCTTCATCAGCTGTATGGAACATTGTGATCTGCAAGTTAATGTAGGAACACTGAAGATTAGCAAAGAATTGGAAAGACAGATGAATGGGAAGGAAATGTTCAAAGTGGAGACAGTGATGCTTATACAATGGCAAATGATAAAACAGTCATTGAGGATGGTTAATGAATAACAGAACTTGCTTCTTTATCTAATAAAATTTGCATGACTAATGTAAATATCCTTCTTATACAATCTTATGCACGTTATTCCAAACTTAACTGGAAGGCCATTAAAATGCTAATGTTACCCCTTACTTGGCCTGATTTCTTTCATCCCAGCTAATATATTTATTAAGCCTACAATATTTTAAATGCTTTCATCAGCATCATCTACAACAGGGTTGTCAAGAGGGTGGGCATCGCCCCCTCATTTTGGCCAACAGGGTGCTACAGGAGCCATCTATACTGTCTCACCCCCAGCCCCGCCTGTGGAGAACTACAATGCTGATCCAGCCCTCGAAGAAATCCGGTTTGATACCCCTGATCTACAAGCACACAAATCCCAGAATTGTGGAAGTTACAGTTCCAATGCTATGTTAGAGAGAAGCCTCTCCACCTATCCTATAAAAGAACTGAAATACTTGAAATACTTATCCTGCAGAATACAACAGCCTTTCAATCTCTACATTCACTTCAGTTGCACTTTGCTTTATATATGCAGAACACGTGATTATTTCTATTAATGGGGTAACATCTGGACAAGTGATATTATTGATTTTAATAGTTTTAAGGAGGGGCGCACAACAAAAATTAAATGTCATAGGGATGAAAAATTAGGAATGCCCTGGATAAAACCTAGTTTTGATTTAATTTAATTTATTTTAATTTTATTATAAAGTACACATTCTTTATGTGATTTCTCGCATATACTTCTCTCACATATCGATCATAAGGGATAATCAAGGGATTTTTCCAAAGGATTCTGGTAAAACCCAAAGCTTTTTGGATGGGGGAGCATGGCTTTTTGGTGCCTATTACGCATTTCTAATTTAAATGGAGATGAAAAATATAAACATACAGTTATGTAGCTATTTATTACTTATGACTACCAAATAAAACCTTTATATATTGGGTAGCATGTTACTGAATTACAGGTTTTGAAAGGGAGAATAAGAGAAGGGAAAACTGTTTTCATGCACAGCTTATGAGTTTGCAGGAAAGGTCTGACTAGTTTACCATGTAAATCATTGATTGATTCTTCATTTATTCTGGAATCAATTATTTTTATGCTCTTACATTTTAACAAAGTGTCCTCAACATCAGCAGTTGAAAACCCAAGAGCACAGTCACAATTTGCACTATAGGTGAGTTTCATCCTAACAGTACCACGCACATGTCCTAGCTTGCACTCCACTGCTTACTGCTCAAGCTGGCTCAGTTAAAGTGAATTTAAGTTCATGCATCATCATTGCTTAGATCCCCATTAGAAAGTCCTGCAATGTCATTTAGTAACTACAGGCTGACTGAAAAACTAGGACTCTCACTTTGGAAAATTACAGAAATTATACTTCTTAATTTAGGTCAGACAATATGCCTTTTTGATTGCTGATTTGTGAGGCTGAAGTAAGTGATCAAGCAAACGTATATTGAATTCTAGAAGAATAGAGTTACAAAAAATGTTTCACAAAGAGAGGACAAAGAGAACCTAAGGGCATTGTACCAAATGCACAATAAGGTTACAGCTATGAAGTTGGGTGAAATAAATTGGTATAAAAGTGCCAGATGCACTTCATGTGATTCCCTAGGAACAGCAATTAACGGTCAGTCTAAAATACACTCTTGATTAATGTTGGCCCAGCCAATAATAAAAGTCATAGATGTAAAATAATTTTTCAACAGTTCCTACAGTGTTTCTCAACCTTGACAACCTTAAAATTTGTGGACTTCAACTTCAAGAACAGCATTCTGCCTGGGGAATTCTGGGAATCCATGCCCACATCTTAAAGTTGCCAAGGTTGAGCAATGTGTCCCACATTAACAAGTCATGCCAGTTCCTAGCATCCTCGGCTGAAATACTGTAGTCAAGGATTTCATACAGGTTCCAATTCCCATTTTAAATGACACCACAAGGGGTCTCATTTTACACTTATACTCATTTGGCATGCTTTTTGGATCCCATTGGAGAGGCTTTTACCCCCACCTGTTCCATAAATTTCTGATGCCCAGTACTCAGGTTCTCTCATCACATGAAACTTATTCCAGAGACATTGATTGCATTGTTAGTGGCAACTGCCCAAAAAAGAAAAGCCCCTTTGCTGTCCCCTTTGCCATACCAAAGGGGCTGCTAAGGCAGGTTTGCAAACGGGAAGGAACACATACCAAAGTGAACCGACTTCCACCTGCCACCCTTCTCAAATTCTGTCTGGCTTACTGTAGTAATAAACCCAATAGTCAAATCGGTCAAAGGCTTCTTTCCCCTTGTCAGGACACGCAGCATTGTGTACTAATAGGCACCCAGGCCTTCACTGCAAGCATTATTCATCCTCTACTCACATAGTGTTTGGAAGGATTTCGCCTTTTTTCCACGTCCACCACATTAGCATCCAGTACAGTGTAGGACAGCATCTTCGCAACCCCAGGAAAACCAGGAAACGCAAAAACAGTCCAGATGTATCCTTGTATTATGATGACTGCGCTTATTCTTTGGCTCCTCGGCACTCAAGGAGGATTTCCTAGGAAAACAGAACCTCCTCTGCCCCTCAGCCTCGCTTTCTTTCCCTTGCTGGTACAAAACGAACAAACGAAACGCCTTCGACTTAGCTTTCCCGAGTACTTTTTTCCCTCCTTTAAAAAAAAAAAATCACGCGGGAAACGACCTAAATACGGCCATAAGCCAGCGCGTCCCGCAAGCGCAGGAGCACACAAACACACACACACACACTTCAAACTCTTCTCCCTCCTATGCAGGAATATTTGAATTGTCTGCAGTTAGTTCCAATGTTTCATCCTGGTGGAAAGGAACTCTTCTCGTCCGGACCGCATTGGAGCGGACGGGCGGCGGGGAGGAGTTGAGTTCTGGGAAAGGATCAAGTTCTGCACACCCCTTACACAGATCTCGCGTACTGCGTGTGTGTGTATGATATGTGTGTGCGTGTGTGTCTGCTCCTCTTATTCGCTCTCCCTGCCTACCTACCTCTTTCCCCTCCTTTTGCCCCCTCCCGCCCTACACCGGAGTGAGTCGCCGCCGTGCAGTTATCCTCGCCGCAGCTCCTTGTCTGACAGCAGCTGATCTTTGACAAGGCTTCCCGCTGCAGCCCCGACTGCCTGGGGGGTGAGGGCGGAAAGGGAAGAAACGGACGGAAGATACGGAGGGGGCTGGTTTGGGTGGGGAGGCGAGCGAGCGCGCGGCTCTCTTCCCCAGCTCCGGATTCCCGCTGCCGTCGTCCTCGCGGCCAGGCGAGGGGCTGGGAGGGCGGGGCTGGATGAATAGGAGGGCCGACAGAGGAGGAGGAGAGGACGGCGCTGCCTACCCCCACCCACCGGCAGGAGAGCGGAACGGGGAGGGGGCGATCACCTCTCCACGCCCAAAGCCCCAGGGAAGCTGAGATGGGCGGCGGCCACTTAGAGCGACTAGTCGGCTGGCAAAGGTTTTGGCATGGGCAGGAGGAGGAAAGAGGGAAAAAACTGGTGTTTCAGGCGCTCGCTTCTTCTCTTCTCTCCCCCCCACCCCCCCGGTCCCTGGCGACAAGAGAAAAAGTGAGACGGCGGCTGTGTGGCAGAAAAGGAGAGAGGGGCTCGAATCTCCCGGATTCTCACTTTATGCAATTTAAAAGAAACCCACGTCGGATGCTCCCCCCCACCCTTACTGGGTGCTCTCCAAAGTGCTCAAGAAACCAAAAGGGTCTCGGTTGTATTGTATAGTCTAGTTGGCCTGCATACATTCTAGTCAGTTCCCCTCGAAAACATCCCCCCTTCTCTCTCTCTGCCTCCCTCCATGAAGTTACCCAATCCGGTATCCTAAATGCAGAGAGAGGCAGGTAGGCTGCCCACCTAGGGCTCCGAATTTAAAAGTCCCTGCTGGTGATCTGCTCTAGACAATGAGACAGACTAGATTTGACTTAGAGATTGCAAAACCTATTTTTGATGACAGAGGCTGCTGCTCATGCTGTGGAGTGCAGACCAGGTCTTCCACTCCAAAGACTCCCACGAAGCAGAAACCAGAGTTGTTTGCTGAGATGGACAGTTATAGAAATCAATTAAATACATTTCCAAATACATATCCAGAAGATTTACCCATGACATGAGAGAATTCGAGAGCCACAAGCTAGGGGGTTCCAAAAAGTTGGATGATATTTTCCAATGACCATGAGCCATTTATTTGAGTGGAAAAGGGGATCTGTGGCTCTGCGGATATTACTGAATTAAAACGCCCAACATGCCACCAACTAGCTGGGGCAGGAGGGAATTGAAGTTCAACAATTTCCAATGGGCTGGTAACTTTCCAGCCCATTGTATACCTGTTCAGTAGGCTGCAGCATAGGTCAAATTGACTTGTAGGATATTCTCTAAAATTGCCAATGAAAAGGGCTTAGTTCAACTGGCAGCCTTTTTATCAGTTTGCATCAGAAAATGAGATGGGAAGCAAATCCCTTTCATCAACTGTTCTCTGTTAAGCTCATCCTCTCCCTAAATTGCATGCAACCATAATTTTATGGCTTATAGGAGGAGGAGCTTAGATGTCTGAGCTTGTGCTTTTCTGCCCTTCCCATTCTCCCCACCCCCTTTTATGTTATATTTTTTTAGATCCTGTGGGTAGGAACTTGGTTTAGGTTTTCTTTCTTTCCATTGATTGTAAACTTTTCAGTGGGCCTTGGAGACTGAAGAATGGGGTATGTAGATGCTTCACATATTTAGATGAATTAAAAATTCAATAAATACAAGTATATTACAAAGAATCTCCACAATTTATTTCCTCATCAGTTAGATCCATTTTTACAATTTTTTTAAATGCCAAAAGCAGGAATAAACAAGCCTTTGCCTACTGGCTGAAAGACAAGAAAAAAGGGAATTCCAGTGCCTGAAGCAGACGTCAAGATCTTTCCTCATGCTGCCATCAAACAATTTTTATTTAATTAATTTAATTGCAAGCATATAAATAATTTGAGCATATTTTGTATGGCATCTAATTGAATCCCAGTCTAAGCTTCCAAGGCCAACATGGAAATATATAATTTGAAATGCAAGTTGTCGGGAGTAAAGTTACAGCATTTGTCTATTCAGAAGAGTGTAGATTAACTGAATGTATAACTCAATTAGTTAGATTAAAATTGGCTAATATACCTTTCATGAAATACAAGTTTATACGCCTCTATCTTATTTCAACAAACAGGAAGTTAAACCCCAAAAAATATTTTTATTTGACTTTTAATAGAATTAATAATTAATGTTAGGTTATTCCCTCCTTTCCAAATCTTTTGCACCTGTCACAGTGACTGGGTTTTAAAGATGAGTGAAATATAGTAGGGAAAGGGATCTAATATCCAACATTTAAGAGAAAGGTTATCCAGGTATTTACATTAAATTAAAATGAAATTAATTAAAGTCTCGGTTCTGAAGGAATTTGCAAAATTGTTTTACTGTTTTATTTTATCGAGGAAGAGAAAATGATACATTGTATATAAAAGTATCCATAGGGAAGAATATAGTGATTTAACCAAGCTCTATTGCAAATTGCAAATTTAATCAGGAAATGATGGAAAATAAGAACAAAAGCCAGGCCTCCACTGTATGAAAGTATGAAAACTATGAAAAATCACCTGATGAGGAGATGGGTGGCAAACAAATTTAATGAATAAAAATAAATTAATAAAAACCATTAATAAAAAACAGGCACAATACAAGGGATCATAATATCACTTTAGTAAGACTCATATCTTTCTATAAACTGGATTGTAGAGCTTATACGTTATATTAAAGATGAAAATAATTTTGAAGTGATTTATCTTGGTCAGATTTTTTTTTACATCTCATAAATCTGGCATTTTCACAGAAGTGTGTAGATTTTTTATATCCACTATATCTAAATATATAAAATACAAATTCAAAAACCAGACTAGAAAAAAATCAATATTGAAAATGCAGTTTAGTAGAAAGATATATGTTAAATATATTAAAACTCTTTGCAGTGTGCTTTTGCAAAAGGAAATTTAAAAAATACTAGCCAGATTTTTTAAATTATATTACTAAAGTTTCATGAAGCATATTTTTCTCAGTCATGAAGTACGTACAGGTCTCATTTTGAACATGGAAAATCACCTTAAATTTAAATATGTATTTAAATAAAATATTTAAACATTTACATATGTAAAGAAACTTCATTACAAAATATAAGTTCCATGATACATATAAAGAAACTCCTGTATTAAATATAAGTTTTCCAAGTTTGTTTCAACAGCACCACACAGTGGCAATAAACATATTTGCAAGTTAGGTTACTTTTGTTTCTGTTAAGATAATTATCAACTCATAAAACAGATTACCATGAGAATCCAATTTTTATGGAAGAATAAAAATCCATGATGCTTTTGTCATCAAAGTTACAAGATAATGAAATGGAGAAGCTTTAGATTTCAGAATAGCAGAAATGTTTTTTCCTTGACTAAATTGTTTTTATGAACATCCTTGATACTATATTATAAAAGAAAGGGAAACTAAACTTCCCGATTATTAGATCCTACAGTAAATATTAAATAAGAAAATACTTTGTAATTTAAAAGTTAAGTATTAAAATTTTAAATATTTTAAGAAAAAGATCTGAAACTTTATTTAGGAAATCTGTCTTCCTTACAGTCCAAAAGACTTGAAGAGTTTTTTCACTTTGGATCATACATTGTAGAAGACCAGTGGCTTTTAGAAGACATACAAAGGGCTTTTGGTGACAAAATCAGATTTGTGGATAAAACAAATTACTCTCAACCGATAGCATCACTTGGAACATGACTTACCTACTGAAAATCTGATGAAAGGATGTGTTAAAATGTAGTAATTTTAGGAACCTATCATTGCTTCTTTTTTTTTTCTAGGAAGAGGTTATCCTTCTCAAAGGTCTCTGACTAAAATAATTCCATCATTCCATTGTTCCTGGGTAGATTATTTTAGCTACAATCTTTACACTGGCTTCCTAAAATAATTCCAAGTAGTGAAAACATGGTTGAATTTGTGTGACATATGGAGACACAAGCCAAGCAATTATTTTTTACAATACTCTGTTGGGCAAAGCAGCAAGTCTGGTTAATTTATGGTCTAATACAGTGATGGCAAACCTTTTCAGCTTCCAATGCTCAAATTGGAATGTGTGCATGCATACAAACTTGGAAACCAGCTGGCCAGTGCATATGTGCGCGCCGGCCACCTGGTCTTCTGGTTTCCAGCGCACACACTTGCACCAGCCAGTTGATCTCTGCATGTGCCAAACCCCAGAAACCCAAAGACCAGTTGGCCAGTGCACATGCGCTCACTGGTCACCTGGTCTTTGGGATTGCTGGGTTTCGACACACACGAAGATCAGCATGTGTGCCGGAAACCAGGAGAAAAGCTGGCAACGGTGCGCATGCCCACAGGGAAGGCTCTGCGTGCCATCTCTGGCACACATGCCATAGCTTCATTATCACAGGTCTAGTATGTCACATGAACCTAGAAAACTTAATTCAGTTAGCTATGTTCATTTAACTATGGATGAGTAATGTGCAAACAACCAGCATTGAGAGAAAAAATGAAACAGTATTTGAATTCTGCTTATTTAGGTAAGAAATGGAAAAGAGGGTACTGATGCTTTGCTAATTATACTGTTACAAAGCAGGCCTTAATAGTGACTCAAACCCATGGTTTGTTTGAGTTTGTCCCGTTGAATTTCAACAACACTCTATATGTCTCTTCTCTCATTTCAACTCTCTTAACTCTTCTGTGAACTACAAGGTCTAATGGGATCCACAAGAAGGAAGAGGTCGCTTAGGTGCAACATGATGCAATATGTCAACCACCCTCTTATCCCAAGTGGCAACTGAAGCTTCAGATTGGCCGTGCAGCAGACCAGTAGGAATATCACAGTCCCTCTGAAATCCATCTGGATCCATCAATTGTTGGTATGAACCAATCTCATGGGTCAACTCTCTTGAGATAAAAGAGGATTTTCAACCAAAAGTTTAGCTAGCTGAACTCATTGTTGTAAAATAAAATAACACCTTGA